TCTCATTTGAAGAAATTCACACCAACTAATAAAATATCTGCCATCATGGGTGACACGTGGCAGCACTCCATTTGTTGTAAAATTAGGTGTAAACACCAAATAAATTAACATTTTTATTCTTAATTTTTTTGGATAAATTTTTATTTTTATTTTTATTTATTGTTTCCTCAAAAATCCTTAAACAACTTTAAACAGAGCAAATCTAGATGTAATTGTGCTACTTATTTTCCTAAAAAACAAGAAAAAGGGGTTTTCCCCATGACTCTCTCTCTTCACATTCAATCTCCGTTAGGATGATTGAAAGAACGTTGGTTTAAAATTTAATTTTGCACCTTCAGATTATTTACAAAAAAGAGGGATGCCTCATGTACAATGGATTATTAATATAATCTAGCTTGAATAATCTCAAGGACTTTGTTAATATTGTGAATTTTAAGTTAATAGATCCCAAATATTTTAAATGAAATGCAAATTAAAGTAAACTCACAAAAGATGAATACATCTTGATTAAAACTACCATATTCAGAACCAAATTAACCTATATTTATAAACAGATTTGTAAATTAACCTACTTTAGAACTGAAAATTTAAAACTAATTAACCAAAGATACTAACTTGGAAAACAAAAAAATAAAGAAACATAAACGATATATACATAATCATTTTATGAAAAACATTACCTGCCATAAACTTAAAATAAATAATTTTCAAAAAAGAAATGATACCTTGTAAAAATTAGAACACTTGCTGTCCATTACATGAGATGCAATTGTAGAAGTGAATATAAGAACTAATTTGACTATTTTAATATTGGAGACAATCTCAAATCTACAAAGTATTGTGCTAAAGATGAGATTTGTAAGATAAAGAAAAAATCTAAAATCATTAAAACTTGTTGAGGGTTGTGAGTAGGGCTAACCATCTATGTTAAATAATCTAAAACTTTTTTTTTATTCGCTTCTTACGAACTATCCTTCCGCTTCACTCGCTAGCTATTACAGATAATGGATAACTTCTTTGAGAAAATGGACACATCAACAAGATCAAGTTGAGACTGCATTAGATCTTGCCACATGTACTATTCTATTGTTGCCTCAAACTCTTAACTGTACTTCCTTTTAAATTATAAAAATTGCTATTTCTTTTGAATTTAAACTGCAACTAATAATTGTTGCAGGCAATTGAAATCTCAATCGATAAATCTAATGTGACATCATTTTATCATTCACATGTGACATGAATTAAAAATTGTAATTTATGATATAAACAATTATTAATTTTGAATATTTTAATTTTAAAAACCAAAACCAAAACCAAAAACTTAAAATCAAATCAAGCACAAATTGTCAAATTGGATCGGGACAGGAAGATATTATTTATTATTTACCATTAGACTCCAGTTATTGCTGCAAGAATTCAACTTTGCATTTTCTAAATGATTGACTTCGATACCATTAGCAGATACTAGACCGGAAACTTCGAAATCATTTCGCAATTTGACTGTAGCCGAAGAAGGACCTTTCAAGCCAAACAGATTGGTTTCAAACGATGCCATAAATTCACAGCCACAGGTAATACGCAAAACCAGAGCAAAGAAATCAATGGAGAAACAAAGAGAAAGGGTCCGGCAACAACGGATGGTGATAGTGGTATCTCCATTTCATGGCCACATAAGTCCCATGATCCACCTAGCCACCTTCCTTCACTCAAAAGGCTTCTCAATCACAATAGTCCACCCACACTTCAACTCACCAGACCCTTTGAGCCACCCAGAATTCACCTTTCTTGCAATTCAAGATAAGCTGTCAGAGTCCGGCATCTCAAATTGGGATTTGGAGGGCATCGCCTTGACTCTCAATAGGAATTGTGCAGCACCATTGCTAAACTCTGTAGAACAGATGTTGCTCCAGAATCCGGATGAGAATATTGTAGGTATTATATATGATACCGCTGTGTTTTTTGCCCAATCCGTGGCTGATCATCTGAAAGTCACCGGAATCGCAGTTCGCACCAGCGCAGCTGCCAGAATTTTAGCCTTTCCTGTCTTTCCTAGTCCACATGGAGAAGGTTACATCTCCTCACAAGGTATATTCCTAGCAAGAGAAACAAACACTTTTAGTGGTCTAAGTTTTAACTTTTTCCTTCAGAATTGTTCTAGAAATTCTATCAAAATCATATAGGCACTTACCATATAACATTCCCTTTTTGAGTTGCAGATTATATTTCTGATGATGGACCGCAAGATCCTCAATCCGTTTCGACCAAGCAACTTCTTGCATCTTTACCTGCAAATCCCAACAATTCCACAGAGTCAGGGATCGCATTAATAAGGGCAATAAAGAAAGCGTCTGCCATTATTGTGAACACAATGGACTTCCTCGAACAGGAAGCACTAGCAGTGATTAGAGAACACTTCGCACCTTCGATTTTCGCCATAGGCCCCCTTCACAAATTAGCCCCTACAGGTTCTGCTTCACGACTCAAGGAAGATTCTAGCTGCATTTCTTGGCTTAATAAACAAGCCCCAAAATCTGTGGTCTACGTAAGTTTTGGCAGCCTGGCTGCAATGGA